CTGCTGCGCGCATCGCTGAGGAGTGCTACAGCAGCAGCTGCAGCAGCGAGCAGCAGCAGCAGCAGCAGCTGCTGCTGCTGCACTGCTCCAGCGCGTGCCCACAGGTAGCGCAGCGGCTCGCGCTGCTGCTCGAGGCCCTAGACGGCAACTGCTTCTACACCAAAATGCTAGCAGCAGCTAGCTAGCAGCAGCTAGCTAGCAGCAGCTAGCTAGCAGCAGCTAGCTAGCAGCAAAATGCTAGCAGCAGCTAGCTAGCAGCAGCTAGCTAGCAGCAGCTAGCTAGCAGCAGCTAGCTAGCAGCAGCTCGCTTGCAGCAGCTAGCTAGCAGCAGCTAGCTAGCAGCAGCTAGCTTGCAGCAGCAAGCTAGCCAAAGCTAGCTAGCAGCAGCTAGCTAGCTGCTGCCTGTGTCTAGCTAGCTGCTGCTGCCCGCGGCTAGCTTCTGTGGCTAGTGCTTCTCTTTGTGGCTAGCTGCTGCTGGAAGCCAGCCGCTGCTGGTGGCTAGCTGCTTGTGGTGGCTAGCTGGGGCTCCGCCCACAGCTAGCTGTGCTGCCGGGGGCCTAGAGGGCCAGCTAGCTAGCCATCACTTGCCCACAGCTGCTGCTCTAGCTAGCTGCTGCAGCAGCAGCAACTAGCTAGAGCAGCAGCTGTGAGAGCAGCAACAGGGGCCCCGCTCTAGAGGCGGAGGGGGACAGCCCCCAGCAGCAGCAGCAGCTGCTGCTGTTGCTGCTGCTGTGGCTGCTGCTGCTGCGCCCGTGTTTAACCGTGGGGTAGTAGAGCAACTAAAGGTATTGCACCAACAGGCCAATCCTGGGTAGCTGGCTGGCTAGCTAGCCAGCCAGCTAGCCAGCTAGCTAGCCAGCTAGCTAGCTAGCTAGCTGCGGTTAGTTATTTAGCTGCTGCTGCTGCAGAAAGCCCAGCATCTCCGCGCAGTCTCGCGGGTCCAGAGCACAGCTAGCCAGGCAGCTAGCTAGCTAGCTGGGTAGGCAATGCGCTAGCTAGCCGTCTGGCTAGCTAGCTAGCTAGCCAGCTGGCCAGGTAGCTAGCTGGATAGCTAGCTAGCTAGCCATGTAGCTGGGCAGCTAGCTACGTGGCTCGCTGGCTGACTTGCTAGGTACGTGGCTAGCTAGCCGCCTGCCTAGCTTGCTAGCTAGCTAGCTAGCTGGCTAGTTAGCTAGCTAGCTAGGCAACTAGTTACTTGGCTAGCTGGGCTGAATTGACTTGAATTTGGTCTGCACTTGGGGAGCTGCAGCTAGCTACTCAGCGGCTGCCTGCTGCAGTCCAGCTAGCTGCGCCGCAGCAGCAACAGCAGCAGCAGCAGCAGCAGCTGGCCCCCGGCTGCTGGCTATGGGAGGCAAAGCGAAAGGCAGTTTCTGTAGCCTTCAAAAGGGGCCTCTGCGCAGCAGCAGCAGCAACAGCAGCAGCAGCAGCAGCTACTGCGGCTCTGGGCGGTGCTTGTAGCAGTTGTAAGTTAAGAAGTTGCTGCGGTAGCGCAGCTTCTGCGTCGTGTGCCGCAGCACTCCTCCTGTTGCCTGCAGCAGCAGCAGCAGCAGCAGCAGCAGCAGCGCAGCAGCAGCACAATACAGCAGCATCGGTCGCATCTTACGTTATGTCTGCGGAAGCAGCGGCGAAACAGCAGCAGCAGGGACAGCAGCAAGGAATACCAGTGGTAGCAGCAGCAGAAGCAGGAAATAGCAGCGGCAGCAGCAACAAACACGGCAGCAGCAACGACGACAGACGCAGCAGCAGCAGCATCAACAGCAAACCAGGAGAAAAAGCAGCAACGGCGGCACTGCAGCAGCAAGAACAAACGCAGCAGCAGCAACGAAACCAGCACAGCAAAACGAGCACCAGCAGGAAAACCAGCAGCAGCAGCAGCAGCAAAACCAGCAGCAGCAGCAAAAGTAGCAGCAGCAGCAGCAGCAGCAGACCTGCAGGGCGGCGTCAATCTCCGGAACTGCTGTTGGCTTCGCCCCGAAGGCGACGGCGATGAGACGCCCAAAATATGCAGGAGACTCGCGGGGCTTCTTTATCCTGCAGCAGCAGCAGCAACAGCAGCAGCAGCAGCAGCACAGCAGCAGGGGTTAGCAGCGACGAGAGCGGGAACCGGCTAAGCAGCAGCAAGCGCGCGGCAGCAGCGAGAGAGCAGCAGCATGCAGCAGCGGGAGCCAACGCCGTCCTAATCAGCAGCAGAAACGGCGACACAAACAGCAGCAGCAGCAGCAACAGCAGCAGCAGCAACGGCAGCAGCACCTGAATGCGGTTTCTCTAAAACCCAAGTCCCGCACTTCCAAAAGACTGCCATAATGCTTCTCGATGATTTGCTGCTGCTGCTGCAGCAGGTGCAGCAGCTCCGCCCTCCCCACACGCCGCGACAGCAGCATGTGAAGTTCGTAAAACACCATTTCTGCTGCTGTTGCTGCTGTTGTTGCTGCTGCTGCTGATGCTGCTGCGTTGGTGCTGCTGCTGCTGCTTAAGCTGCAGCTGGCTTCGTGGCTGCTGCTGGTGCTGCTGGCGTAGCTTCCCGTAGTCGTGTTGTTCACTTTGCTGCTGCTGCTACTTGCGCTGCTGCTGCTGCTGCTGCTGCTGCTTGCGCTGCTGCTGCTGCAGCTGCCGCCGCCGCAACAGCAGCAGCAGCAGCACCAAACAGGGCCCCTTCTCTTTAAAAAGTAATGTAAACTAATTAAATATATTATATTTTCTTTTTTATTTATGAAAATAAGAAGAAACCGCAGCAAGCCAGTACCGGGGGCCCCGAAAGCCGGGGGTCCCCCTAGTGGGGGCCCCCTCACGGCCAAGTGTTAGGGTTTAGGGTTTAGGGTTTAGGGTTTTAGTTGAAGAGTTATATCGTCAGGTTCTATTTTAAGACCTCTTTACATGAAGAAAATGAAGGTTTAGGGTTTAGGGTGTGGGGTTTAGGGTTTAAGGTTTAGTGTTTATCCCAAGACACTACAGATTGAGGCTAAGGCGGCCCGTGTGTGGATCTGTAAATTTGCCCTAAATTAGGCCTAAACCCTAAGCCCTAAACCCTATTTTCTAGACCCTATACCTCAATTTAGACCAAATCTCTAAACTCTAAACCCTAAACCCTTGAAGGAGAACCACTGGGGTTCTCTTTAAAATTTCTCCCTTCTCGAAAGGGGTGTAGGAGGGGAAGGAGCAGCAGCAGCAGCTGCTGCTGCCGCTGCAGCGACACGGATCTGCTGCCTCTGCTGCAGCAGTAACTACACAGATCTGCTGGATCTGCAGCAGCAGCAGCAGGGCAGAGTCGCCGCTGCTGCAGCAGTTTGCTGCAGCAGCAGCAGCAGCAGCACACTTGCGCCTCGTGGATCTGTGGCGGTACCTTTACACCTCATTCAGTTTGCAGAACAATAAAACCCTAAACCCTAAACCCTAAGCCCTTGTGAGCAGAAGTGAATCAGCTCTACAGACAGCTACGCGCCTCGGCGCCTAAACAGCTGCAGCAGCCGCAGCAGCAGCAGCAGCGAGAGCAAGCAGCAGCAGCAGCAGCAGGAAGTGCAGCAGCAGCAGCAGTAACCCCGGACGACTTCTCTCCATAGTCGGAACACTTGACAACCATTGCTGCAGGCTAGCTAGCTGCTGCCCCTAGCTAGCTAGCTAGCTAATTAGCTAGCCAGCTAACCAGCTAGCTAGCTGGCTAGCTAGCTATCCAGCCAGGTAGCTAGCTAGCCAGCTAGTTAGCTATCCAGCTAGCCAGCTAGCCACCCAACTAGCCAGCTAGCCAGCCAGCTAGCTAGCTAGCTAGCTAGCTAGCCAGCTAGCTAGCCAGCGAGGCAGCTCGGGGGCGGCTTCAACGAAGGGCTTCGAGCCTCTAAAGGAGGGCCGCCAAAAGCCCCCCAAAAGCAGATGCTGCTCTGCTGCCGCTAGCTAGCTAGC